TATATCAATTTGAAAATTCCCAAATTTTGTGTGGAAAAACTTTTTTTTTTTTTTTTACTAGTGACTCATTTGGGGTATTTGAATCAATAACAGGTTAGAACACACACTGCTGAGTCCAATGCAGGATGTAAACTGACCTCAGGGGGATAGAGCACGTGACAATAACAGGCCCCAGTAGCCCAATCCATAGAAAATAATAATAAAAAAATAATAATAATTCAGTCAAATATAAACATCTTATTAGTTGTCAAAGATTCTCTTGCTGTAGTATGGTGTGTACGGTTTAAGTTGTTAAATTAAGCCCTAATTTAATTGCTCAGAAAGTCAGTCCAATCTCAGTTGTCTTCTGTTTTCAGCTACATGCATTCGGGTCCTTTATGGAGCCAGATGACCTCTTTTACCAACTGTCTTCTCCACTCAGAACCACACCCACGTGATACTTTGATTTAAATGAAAACTGAAAGTGTTTAGCTTGAGTCAGTGAAGAAAGTACTGATAAACTTGAAAAACAAATGTACTGTGAGAAAAATCATATCTGGACATTTAACTTTAAAGGTTTCTGTTATTTGGCAAACACATTTTTGGACCTCTTTAAATACTATGTACATTCACATTAAGTTACTGATGTTACTTTAAATATATTTATATGTATCTATATTATATGACACCCTATGGGCAGTTGCTGAGGTTCCATTCAGTAGCTGAATTCTCTTCATATTGCACCTCCGTCCTCTCACTGTCTTACAATGCGAGCAATACAAAATATTCTACAAGTGGGGTTTCATCTCATTAATATAGATACGACAAATCAAACAGTAAGTACAATGTGGGGCTTCCACTCATAAATGAGTGTCCTTGCTCTGACTTCATTGTTTAGCCCAAACTCAAAGGAGGAAAATGAAAAGTGAAACCAAAACAAAGTCCATCTTTCTGGATATACACAAGGGCAGCACATATGGACATTAGTGACAAGAGACATTGGAAAATGAAAAGCGGAACAATATCTACAAGCAGGTTTGAACCCTTCATATGTGACTGCTCTGACACTCTGTCCAAAGCAGACTGGGTTTAAGGATAGACTAGAGTCAAGTAGTTGGTGGAGTACTGAAGGGAGGTGAGGGGTGCGGGGAGGTAGAAAGAGAAAGGAGAACACCATCCTTTACTAGGCTCTTACATCTGGTATCATGCTTTGGAAAAGGAGGGAGTGAATGTAAAGGTAACAGCAATTCCTTGAAATATCTCCTTGTGGTGGAGCTTTAAAAAAATGACTTAAAAACAATCTCTCTGTACGTTTCCGTAGTATGCAATGCCTTCTTGGAAAATGTTTTCAAGTTTGTTTTGAGGTTTGTGGCAGCTCTGTTGCCATGTACAGTATGTATTTTCATGTCCTTTGAGGCTGTGTTGCTTTTCCTTTCCTCTTTTTTTCTGTCTGTCCTCTCTGTTACCATTCACAAAAATCACACTGTGGCAGGATTTCTATCCAAATTCACTCTTTCTTGTTGGCAAGTTCACAGCATTGTCCATATTCACTAGTTCTGGGCCATCGCTGAGGAATTGCTGTGTATTTGTCCAGGCTGCAGGAGGCAGCTGCACATCAAAGCAGGTCACATCTTTATTTGTGTCTGACTTTCTCTGGGTCCCACTCTACAGCTTCGCTGCAGTCCGGTCCTCTCAGGGCTGGCTTATCTGCTGAGGAGGTGATGTTGCTTTGCGTTTGGTTATAAGATGAGTGCTTCTCCTTATCGCTTACTTACTCACTTTGGCAGTGTAATACAAAGGTTTGGATCATGTTATTTTTCATCTTTGAATTCATTTGGGTTCACAATGGTGCAGAGAGGTGAGTCCGGTGTAGATTTTCTTGGCTCGCTAGCAAGGTAGTTAGCAGTTTAAAATTCATTTTCATATTATTATTGTTATCATCATCGTCAGCATCATCATCATCATCACTATTATTCTTTATTTAGAATATTTGGACTTTTCTTCATTTTCCCTTAAAGCCAGAAAGAAACATTTAATAAATACTAAGCTGTGTTTCTGAGGAATTAATTGCATCACAGTTTTATCTCCTTCCCTCATCCATTGGAAAAAAGATATTCTGTTCCTTGCCTGTCTCTGTTATGTCACAGCAAAAAAAAACAAAAAAAAAACGTGCCTCATCAGTGAACTGTTTGGACTGGTAGTGCACATCTCAGGGCTGGGCACTGTCCTCTCATTGGTGCTTAATTAAAGGGAAATCCTATCCAAGTGCTAACTGGCCAAGTCATCCCCCCCATCAATGGTGCCTTACCACAGCCCTTGTCTCGTGTCGTACATAGACAGTATTTACCATGCTGACATTACTGAGAGCACATTCAAGTCAAAGCTCATGTTCTCCGCAAATGCATCTGATATGTTTCTGTTACACAGCTAGGAGACACTGCACTATTCATGCTTTGCACTACACTGAACCCCAGCTTGGAATCTTTGTATGTGGTTGTGAAAGAGACAAAGACAGGAAACGTATTTTGGGGGAAGCTGACAAGCTGAAAGAACCAGTCTATCATTGGGTATTGAGAGGATTTTCAGAGGAGTTTAGGATGAGAGGGAAATAAGGACTGTAGTAGGGGAGGAGGAAAAGGAGCAATGTCCAATGACGATTCCTCAGTTTGGTTTTGTGTGGAGTGTAGACACTGGCACATTAGTATGCAGGGAAGGGTCTGATGTCAGCGAGATGTGGCATCCAGTAGAGCAGGGGTAGCTGGAGTTGTGGAGCGAGAGGCACTGCTGGAACTGCTCTCCTTGGGGCTGGCAGAGACACTTCCGCTGCCACTGCCAGCCCCTCCAGCAATACTGCTTTGGCCTGCCAGGGACAGGGGACCCGGAGGAGTACTCTCCGAGTGGGTGGGCGGAGCACTGGAGGATGCTGAAGAGGTGGAGGAGGAGGATGGGGTGCCTAGAGGGACACTACTGCCCCCTGGCAGCCCTTGCAGGCCTTGGCCACAGACATGATGGTGCTTCTCCCAGTCCTTGTGTTGACAGAAGGAGCCGCAGTACCGAGCCGTGTTGCAGCCACTGCAGGTCTCACTGGCTTTCCTCCCACAGTTCCAGCAACTCTGGTGAAGCAGTGGGGAGAAAGTTGATTGAAAAGATAAGTCTCTTTTTTGAACAAGGATAGCACACAGTTCTATCTCTCTTACATAATTACATGTTGAAACATAAAATAAGTCATTTTTAGAATCTTTTTTTTCTTGTATGAGTCTCATCTGTTCGGTTACTCTTTGCATAGTGATTTTATTTTATGGCTTTAAGTGCTGCCCCAATCCCATGGATGTTTGTTACCAGCAGGTGGTAGTCAACTGATCTATAAAGGCCTCAGACTGGCCCTCTGCTCCAATCATGTGGGTCTATCCACTTTTATTTACACAGACAACTGGACTGCTTCTGCAGTAATGATGACAATGTGGCGCAACACCAAACCAAGAGCAGCCAGCTGTATGGATTACACAATACAGGATAGCTTGGATGGTGAGGGGAACAAGCTGAAGGGTAATGGATGGAGCAAGACAGCACTGAAAAGAAGTCAGTGAGTGGCTAAGTTAGGAATTACAGAACAAGTGAGAAGAGAATGGGGTGAAATGTGAGGAGGGGACTGTGATATTCACTCACTTCACTGGAGTCCTCCTGCTGGTTGATGACTGTTAGCGCATCCTCGGAGGCTTGCCTCTTGGCCTCCGCCAGCGCCCTCTCCATTTTAGAGCGTTCAGCTGAAATCATTTCATGAGCCTTTCTCTCAGCATCTGACACTGCCTTCTGCAGCTCTGACATCGCCTGTCGTTTCACCTCATTCACCGCCTCCTCTGAGAGAAAGAAAGAGAGACAAGTGTTAGTGCATATGACCATCATTCCAACCTGCCTGCTCTGACATCTTTTATTGAGGCTCTTTAAGCTGCCATCTTGCTGTATCTCAGCAAACAGATGTACATCATCCAAGATTTAAAAGTTTCTGCCAGTAAAAAGAAAACAGCCAGACTTCAGTAATTAATTCAAGCACGTCTGGCCACAGTAATTTTCAGTGCTGACAACAGCAGATGTCTCCAAAGTTTTGTCACCAACTTGGCTGTTCGTCCACCATCTTGGGATTCCCTGTTTGCACGATGGTCATCTTGTCATAAGAATATTTTTAATAGAAATTGTTAGATGGGGTCTACTTTG